TCCTTGGCGCGTGCGTGGTTCCTGAGCGCCGAAACGCAATTCCAGAATAATTTGTGAGGACGTCGCACGCGAGAGCGCAGTCCTGAGTACACTGTAAGGAAATCTCAAGCGGAAGCGGGGGCCCTGACTAAGTTGCGAGGAAGTCTCAAGCGGGAGCGCCGTTCCTGAGCAACTTGCACGGAAGTCTCAGGCGGGAGCGGGGGTCTTCACTAAATGGCGAGGAAGTCTAAGGCGGGAGCGCCGTTCCTGAGTCAATTGCGCGGAAATGTGAGGCAGGAGCGGGGGCCCTGAGTAAAATCCGAAGAAGTCTCAGGCGGGAGCGCCGTTCCCACGTAAATTGCACGGAAGTCTCAGGCGGGAACGGGGGTCTTGATTACATTGCGAGGAAGTCTCAAACGGGAGCGCCTTTCCTGAGTAAATTGCGCGGAAGTCTTAAGCGGGAGCGGGGGTCCTGAGTAAAAATAGAGGAAGTCTCAAGCGGGAGCACCGTTCCCACGTAAATTGCACGGAAGTCTCAGGCGGGAGCGGGGGTCTTGATTACATTGCAAGGAAATCTCAAACGGGAGCGCCTTTCCTGAGTAAATTGCGCGGAAGTCTTAGGCGGGAGCGGGGGTCCTGAGTAAAAATCGAAGAAGTCTCAGGCGGGAGCCGTTGTTGTTGTAGCCCGGGGGGCAGGGGCACAGTTTGAGCAGGAAGATTTTCCTTGAGAAAAAACAAAGTGCGAGCCCCGGGGGTGGCACTTCAATCGAAAAAAATCAATGTGCACCGGTGGGGGGGGGATCAACAATAATGATTCTTCAAGAATGAGAGTTCAACACCAACAACAACAGCACAAACAAAACGACAGCAGCAACAACAACAACAGCAACATCATTCTAAGACTGTTCGCTCTTACCCGCCCGTGTGTCATTCAAGAAATTCCCCACGCCCTCGATACCAGCCCTGTTCGTTTTCGATCACACCCCCTTTGGGGGGATTATTTCTCTTTGCGGGGGGCGGCGGGCTTAGGCAGGCGGGCAAACCTGAACTGGCGGACAGTCCTTCGTGGGCGTACATGTGCCTGCCATTGGAATTGGTGTGGGCCCTGCAAAAAGAGGAAGGGAGGGGGGGGGAGGGACGAAGGAAGAGGGAAAACGCCAGGAGAGAAGTAGCGAACAGGGGGGCGGTTGAGTAGAGGGTAGAGAGAGGGGAGAAAGAGAAAGAAAGAGGGAGGGAGGAGGCAGGAGAGGGTAGGGAGAAGGGAGGAGGGAGAGGAGGGAGAGGGGATAGGGCAGAGAGGCATAAGGATGAGGGAAGAGAGGAGAGAGAGAGAGAGAGAGAGAGAAAGAGAGAGAGAGAGAAGGGAGGACCGGAGGGAGGAGGGAGAGGGAGAGGAACAGGAAGGTAAGAGCGTGAACGTTCGAAAATGTCCTAAGCGAAAGCGCCGGTTCAGGAAGTCTCGGACGGGAGCCTACGACGGGCGGGCGATCCCCTGACGGGCGGGTCGGGCGGGTGGGACATTCAAGCGGGATGTCTGAGTATGGCGAGAGCGCAATTCCTAAGTAAATCGTGACGGCGTCCTTGGCGCAGCGTGTTTCCTGAGCGTCGAAAGCGCGATTTTAAAATACATTGTATGGAAGTCACAGGCGACAGCGCAATTCCTGAATAAAATGTGAGGGGTTCTCTGGCGGGAGCGGGGGTCTTGATCAAATTGCGAAGAAATCTTGATTCAATTGCAATGAAGTCTCGAGCGGGAGCGCCGTTCCTGAGTAAATTGTGGGGAAGTCTCAGATGGGAGCGGGGGTCCTCACTAAATTGCGAGGAAGTCGTAGGCGGGAGCACCGATCCTGTGTAAATTGTGAGGAAGTCTTAGGCGGGAGCGGGGGTCCTGAGCAAATTTGAAGGAAGTCTGAAGCGGGAGCCGTTGTTGTAATCCGGGGGGCCAGGGGCACAATTTCAGCATCAAGACCTTCCCTATCAAAAAACAAGGTGCGAGCGTCGAGGAGCATACTTTGATTGAGAAAAAACAGTATGCACCAGTGAGGGGGGATCAACCATGAATATTCTTCAGAAATGAGAACTCAACAACAACAACAACAACAACAACAATCACTTTACCCGAACGCTCAGAGTTTTTCACCAGTGCCAGGGTTTTCATGCGACGCCAGCCAATACCCCCACTTTGTGGGGGGGCAGTGCAAGCTCTACCAAATATCCACACGACTCTTCGCCACCACCCACACCCAGCTTCCCGCCCTATGACGTTCGGACACTTCACTTCGTGGCCTGCGGACGACCGTGGCTACTACACTGGCGTGGAGTACACACCCACAGAAGTTGTTAAGCCTACGTTCGTACACCCACAGAAGTTGTTAAGCCTTGTTAACCCACAGAAGTTGTTAAGCCTTCCACAGAACATCTGTTGCTCGCATGTGTCCCGCATGGTATTATTTGACAGGGATGATGGCCCTGGCAGGTGCGCAACCGTTGTCGCAGAAGTTCGAAAAAGTTGCTCGCAAAAGCCCGTTTGACAGAAATGTTTAAAAAGTGTTGGGTTTCCTACGAATCCGCAAGAGCGCGCGGGATGAGATTTTGACATTTTTTTGTTGAAAAACCATTGGTTTTTTGATGTTTTTATGTTAAAATCGCTGCGAACACTAAGCTTTTGGAAGGATTTCGTCTTGCGCGCGCGAATGTCCACTTTACCTTATTTTTTGCAAGGGATTCTTGAAATTTGATTATATTAGAACAAGAAATGTCATTTTCTATTGTTTTTTGCAAGGGAAAGCGGATTACAACAAAACAACCGGATCCTGTACACACCCTCTTTTCTGAGGCTTCCTCACGAAAATGATGAAAATGTAGCTGCGGCCTAGGCGGCGCAGGGGGGGCGCGCACCAGGGGGCCCAACAATAATTATTCTTTAGAATAAATAATGTTCAACAACAACAACAACAACGCAACAAGCAGAATCCTCACCACGGATTCTCACTTCAGCCACGCACCCGATGACAATGAATGACCGTTCGGCCCCCTCACCCTGACTAGATGAATCGCCCCCAGACTTCACAAAAGAATTGAAGATGCCTCCTGAAGATGGAGAGGCCCGACTTAAGACTAGTTTTGAACCGCTCGAGCCAGAGGAGCACGAGCGGCACGGACATCCACTCTCGGTGGGCCGCGCGGGCCTCCAGCAGCTTATGCTCTTGCTCTCTTATGCTTCTCGGGTGCTGAGCCTTGGAGGCGCGGCCGGGGGGTCTGAACTGGTGGGGCCCCAGATAATCGGCCAAGACTCAGGTCGGGCGTGTCCTCCTACAGGGAGATCTTTGACGAAAAACAAAAAAGTCAACAAATGCTCAAACATAGTTCCCCAATCAGTGCTTCCACTGAAGTGGTCCTCGCGGAAATTGAAGGATTTGGCGAAAATTTCCCGCCGATTTTGGTCGCACGCTGGGTTCCCAGGTTCCTGGTTCCGGGTTCCCGGGTTCCTGGTTCCCGGTTCTGGGCCGATTTCGGAAGGCGGCGAGGTTCCCAGGTTCCAGGGTTCCTGGTCGATCTTTTATCGATCGGTCTCACCATCGATCTCATTAAAACTTCTCTATCGATCGCACCATCGATCCCACAATCGATCTCACTATCGATCTCACTAGAGATCGCATGAGCGATCTCGGTCTCACGATCGACCTTACAATCGTCCCCACTATCGATTCCACTATCGATCCCATTATCGATCTCACAATCGATCTCAAGATCCATCGCATTGTACTACTTCGCAAAGCATCCACTGATTGGGGTTTTATCGGGTGTATTTTTTTGAGAATTCTCGAATGCTCCTCCTGTAGAGGGACGTGCCCGTCTTGAGCCAAGGCGCGGGAATAAAAGCACATCCGCCCCCCATCAGTTCCCGGACCCCTCCTGCGGCCCACCTGGTGTGCATCTCTGGCCAGCCCCAGATCCGGCCGCTCGACGGCCCGAGGCCCCGAAGCCTGCCCCCGGAGGCAGAACAGGGCAACAAAACAAATCCCCGAACCCGGAACCTGGAACCTCGAGAAGAGACTAACCAACATATGATGGGCCTGTTCTCCACCACGGAGACAAGGAGGAGGAGGAGGAGGAGGAGGAGGAGGAGGAGGAGGAGGAGGAAGAGGTTGAGGAGGAGGAGGACCCCCTCCTCCTCCAACTTATGGTGGCGGTGGTGGTGGAAAACAAGCCCATCAACACGATCGGCGCTCCACGCTGATTTCTCGGATCTGCGCTGGACCCCCCTCTCGGGCGCGCGGAGCGCGCCAGGGGCGGCGCCGGAGGCGCTGTTGGGGGGGGGCCAGCGCGAAGCCAAGGACTCCGCGCGGAGCGCCAGAAATTTATTTGTCTGGCCTTTGTACTTCTTCGTACCTTCCCCCCTGTCCTGCTGGCTGGAACCAGTGCTGGGCCACATCAGACCCCCAGCCGGCTCCAAGAATGATCGCCTCGAACCACACTCACACGGGAGCATTACCGCGCAAGGATGGCCGGCTGGCGGCAGGAGGCGGCGCCGCGGTGCCCCCGCGCGGGAAGCGCAAGGGGCAGGATAGCGACGAGGGATGTGGCGGAGTAACCCGCGCAAGGATGGCGCTGGCTGGCGGCAGAAGGCCGCGCCGCGGTGCCCCCCGCGCGGGAAGCGCAAGATGGGGCAGGATCGAGGGGGGGCGCGCGGGGCGGAGGGTGTCGATCCGTGGACCCGATCGACTCCTGGACGGGAGGGGGGGGAACCTGGGCGTTGGCCTCAATTCCGATCGGCTCTCCTCTTGATCGGGGGCGCGCCCCCCCGACCCCCGACGTCATGATTGATTCACAGCGTCGATCCTGAGAGGTCTCGACCCATTCCCCTGGACCAGCTTGCCATCCTGAGCCGTTTCTTGACGATCCCGAGGGCTGGTGAGGGTGTCCGGAGCCGAAGATCAGGAAACGCCTCCCGTCATGACTTGTTCCTTCCCCGAGGGCCACTGTTCTCCTCCGTTTGATCGGGGGGCGCGTCCCGGCGCCTCCGCCTGGGCGCTCGCCTCGGCGAGGGCGGCCGCCGCGCGGTCGGACATGAACTCGACCAGCTGCCGCAGGCCTCGCGGGGAGGCGCGGGGGGCAGCGACTGCCGCTGGCCACCGGCCGTGGATGGCAGGAGGGCCTAGCATCCTTACCCTACCCCGCCCTACCCTACCCTACCTCACCTTACCTCACCTTGCCTTACCTTACTTGTTCTCACCTCCTACTCCTCCTCCTTCTCTGTTCCTCCTCCTCCTCCTCCTTCTCCTCCTCCTCCTCCTCCTCCTCCTCCCAAATCCCTCCTCGTCCCTCTGCCTCCCTCTGCCCCCCTCCCCTTCCCTGCCCACCTTCCCCGCCCAACTTCCCCATCGTCGGATCGGATCGAGTCGGCTCGGATCGATTCGGATCGGATCGGATAGGGCCTGTCGATCGGATCGGTTCATGGGATCGTGCGCGACCGACAGGTCCTCCTGCCGATCGGATCCGATCGATCGGATCTGATCGGCAGGAAGGCCTGTCCCAGCATCGGATCGACAAGTCCGACAAACGATCGAAATTCATGGGACCGGCTGGGCTCGGCAGCCAGGCCAGGAGAAGTCGAATAGGCGGCAAACGGCACGCCAGGAAGGCCTCCCCCCGAAACCGAAGTCCGGACTCTCGACTTCTTCGAGAGACGGCTGGAGGTGTTCTGGGGCAGGTCCGTCGCGCTTAGAAGAATAAGGATTCTGCACATACACCGATCCTGGCCAGGCCTATCTTGGGACCAGGATCTGTGCATACGCTCTCCTGGCTTGGAAAGACCGCCATCTAACAACACCGATCCTGGGCCCATGGTGGGGCCTGGCCAGGACCAGTGCATGTGCATGGTTCTCTTCCCCCGAGCCTTCTTCCTGCTCCTGAACTTGCTCTTCACGGACTCTGCCCCTTGCACTGGGGTCTCTAATCGTGGCGCGCACACGCACGAAGCCAAGCATCCGTAAGGACGCGTGGGCAGAGAAGAGGTGCACAGCGGCAGCTCTCCGAGCAAAACCTGTGGGAAAACGACAAGTATCCAAACACGGGCCCCCGACCTTCAGACCGCTTTCCCAAGACCGGTTTTTCATACCGGTAAGGGCCCTAGGACGCCGAAAACTACAGTCGACCCGTATAATAAGCATGCACGACATAGATGCAAGTGCCTTGGAAGGCCGTTTCGAAGCTTTTCGAACGGGGCGCGGCCAACGAAAGTGGTCAAGGATGGGCCGAGGAGGCAAAGATGCAAGGGCACCCTTAGGAAACTTGCCCATCCTTGCTGTGCGGGTTGGCTGTATGAGAAGCCGTTGCTTTGATGTTTGTCGAGACGCTGGATGTCTGGGTTCGCTGCTGGCAAGAACAACTTGCCCATGCCCCTCCCCTGAGATCCAGCGTCTGGAAAAAATGGGAACATCGCGACAAATCACGACCAGAGCCCTGGACCCCATCTGTGAGGGCCCCGGGGCCCGAAATTCTTCGAAAACGCCCGGCTCGAAAAAATGGCGACGACAGAGTCTCAGGGAAGCTTGCCCTGCCCATGCCCTCCCCCCGCTCCCGCCGCAGCCCCGCCGGCGCCGACGTCCCCGCCCGCCACGCGGAGAGGGGGGGCCTGCGCACGCGGTGTGGTGCACGCTGGGGGCCGAGGAGTTGTGCAGCACGTGCAGCAGCTGCATCAGCTGCTCCTCAGGCGATTTTTCTCGTGTGCGCGCAGCAGCATTGGAGTCCTCCTCCCCGCCCGTCCTCCTCCTCCTCCTCCTCCTCCTCCTCCTCCTCCTCCTCCTCCTCCTCCCTCCTCCTCCTCCTCCTCCTCCTCCTCCTCCTCCTCCTCCTCCTCCTCCTCCTCCTCCTCCCTCCTCCTCCTCCTCCTCCTCCTCCTCCTCCTCCTCCTCCTCCTCCTCCTCCTCCTCCTCCTCCTCCTCCTCCTCCTCCTCCTCCTCCTCCTTCTCCTCCTCGTCCCTCCTCCTCCTCCTCCTCCTCCTCCACTTCCTCCTCCTCCTCCTCCTCATCCCCCTCCTCCTCCTCCTCCTCCTCCTCTTCCTCCTCCTCCTCCCCTTCAGCTTCCGCCTCCACCTCTTTGAACGCGACCGGGAGCAGCGAGCTCCCAAGACACCCGGCGACCACAGTCGGTCAAATGTACATTCTAGCAGCGGTCCTCCAGCTGCTCCTCCTCCGACAGGCGGGGGGGATGCTGGCCCAATGGGGGCGGGGAATTTCGGGTTCGAGGTTCGGGGGGGTCGGGGGTTTTCGTCGGCTCTGGTGCTCTCCAGCAGCTGCGCCTCGCCGAGAGCGTTTTCGGGATGTCCGAATCCTCCGCAACGACCGCCGGAGGCCCAAGTGGTCAATGCCAGGGGGGCATACACACCGATCCAGGGCCAAGGATGGATCAGAACAGGCCTGGGGCAGTGGATCAAGTGCTTAGCCGCTGCAAGGCACGGCGGGATGCCAAGCTACAAAAGAGCAAGCTTAAAGCCTGAGACTCAAACTCCACATTTGCTGCTCGAGCTTGAGCTCAGGATTCCGCGGGAGAGCCAAGCATGGTTTGGGGAGGTTCAGGGCGAGTTTTGGCGCACATGTCGGCGACCACTTTGCGAAAACAGGTTATTTCGCATTGCAGTGTCTTTGCGCATTGCAAATGTTTTTTTCCATTGCACATACTGTTGCGCTGTAGCGGCGCTGCTCGAGCTTGAGCATGGGATTCCACGTGAGAGTCATGGGTGGATTGGGGAGTTGCGGGGAGGGTCCAAGCGCACCCACGGGCGACCACCAAACGAAAACAGTTGTTTGTGCACTGCCGGCTCGTGTGCATTGACATTATGTCTTGGCTGTAAGCTCGGAGAACACTGGTGCCCGAGCTGAGGATTCCGCCTGACAGCCAGGGGTGGTTCGGAGAGGCCCAGGGAGGGTTCAAGCGCAGATGTCGGCGACCACCACACGAAAACAGTTGTTCTTGCGCATGGCATTGTTTCTCTGGCTTGCATGTAGTTGATTTTGCAATTATGTTTTTGCGTTGTAAGGGCTGCTCGAGCCAAGCGTGGTTTGGGAGATAGCAGGGCGGGTTGAGGCGCACATGCCGGCGACCATCACACGAAAGCATTTGTTTGTGCATTGCAGTTGTTTTTGCATAGCAATTGTTTGTGCATTGCAGTTTCGTTTGCGCTGTAGGGGCGCTGCTCGAGCTTGAGTTTAGGATTCCGCCTGAGAGCTAAGCGTGGTTTGGGGAGGTCCAGGGAGGGTTCAAACGCAGATGCCGGCGCAACCATACGAAAACGTATTCGGGTTGCATGGCAATGTTGTTTGGCATTGCAATGTTCGTTGCAATGACATGGCTGTTGCGCTGTAGTGACGCTGTTCGAGCTTGAGCTTGGGATTCCGCGTGTGCGCAATGCGTGGTTGGGGGAGGTTCAAGGAGGGTCGAAACGCACATGCTGGCGACGACCACACGAAAACAAGTTGTTGTTGCTGTGCTTTTTGCATTGTAGCTTGTTTTACATCGCAAAGGGCTCCAAAGGGTCCAGCAATCCCTAAGAAGGTCCGGGTTCCAAGGCGGCCCCCCAAACAGTATCATGCCAGGAGCCTCTGGCATGGTACTGTGAGGGTCTGATTGTGGTGCCCTCTTGTGGCCTCCTGGGGCTCTTCCAGACCCTCGTCGTCGTAGCCGGGGCTGGGGCCGAGAGCGCTGCTGCGTCAGCAGCAGCAGCTGGCTCAAGAACATTTCGCCTCGATCTGCTTGTGGAATACAAACATATAGTTTATGTGTATATATATGTATATATTATATATATATATATATATATATATATATATATTATGGATTCCTCCTCCTATCTGTTTGAAAGCCCGGGCGGGGGGACCCCCCCCCAAAAAAAAACCGGACCCCCGGGATCTGGGGCTTTGGGTCTCGAAGCGGCCTCGCAGGGCATTTTGCCAAGCCTTCCCAGCACACCTAGGGCGATCAGGGGGGTCATCGGAGAAGTCCCAGAGACCCCCAAGACAGCACAAGAGCGCTCCAAGAGTGACCGACGTGACCTCAAGATGGCCCAAGAGGCCTCCAGGACTGCCCCAAAGGCCTCAAAAAGTCCCCAAGAGCACTCCCAAGATGGCCCCAAGAGGCAAACATCATTGATTATCTGAAGGTTTTTTGGTGAATTTTGGGGTTCTCCTCGTTTCGGCTTCCCGACGCTCCTATACGGGTGTCGTCTGGGCGTGCGAAGCCGCCTGGGAGGCTCCCAAATCGCCCCACAACCATCCGAAAGGGCTTCCAGGCAGTCCAAGAGAGCCCCAAAACGGCACAAAAGGGATCAAAGATGGCCCTAAGAGAGCCCCATGGCGGCCAAAGACGGCCCCAAGACACCCTCCGAAGCATTCCAAATCGTGACCCAGTCGTTCAGGGAGACCGCCGTCGCTGAATTGTCGGCTTGACCTTCCTGCCATTCCGCCTGCATACCAAACTTCAAGAACCAAGGTGCATGGCGCGAAGCGTCATTGCAGTCTTGTATATATATATGTATATATATATATATATATATATATATATATAAGCATCGTCGCCTCATCATGGCGGCGCGCACGCGGCTGTCACGCGAGAAGGCACGGGGGGGGGGAGCGATTATCCAAAGCCAAGGTGGCTCCCGACCCAGACCCCCAACGTCATGATTGTATCATAACGTCGACACCCAGAGGCCTCGATCCATTCCGAAGGACTGGTTTCTCATCCTGAATCTCGCCATCGCTTCGGACGTACAGATTTTTGGGGCTTCGTTCGTGTATTTTTCGCGAGATGGCCTCAGATGCTCCTCGATAGTCCTCCCCCAAAACAAAATGCACACGTCCGAGCGATGCGCCAGGGAATCGCTGCCGGACGGCCACGGGGCCTGGCGAGAGCCTCCAAATGCCGAAAACCGCAAGTGAGCGTTTTCTTATTCCGCGTTTCGATTCTGGGCGGAAGGGAAGCCATGGGGGGAGGAGGAGGACGAGGAGGAGGAGGAGGAGGAGG